TCAAGCTCATGAATCATGAGATCAAGACTTGAGCTGAGCTAAGAGTCGGATGCTTAACTGACTGAGCCACCTAGGTGTCCCAAGTGTTACCATCATTCTTATTTTATAGTTGAAGAAACAAAGGCTCAGAGAGGCAAGTAATCAGCTTTGGAAAGAGCGAAGTGTCATAGCACCAAGCCTGGAAAGAGATTGGGCCAGATTATAGAGGATCCAAAATGTCCTCTGAGCAGTGATGGGTTATAATCAATGCTCGAGAGAGATTTTCCTCATAGTTCTATGAGAGTCAAAGTAAGTTGTGACCAACAAAGAATTATTAAATTAGTCTAAGGACAAGACAGGAGTGAAAACAGAAAGAGGGGAATAGGTGAGAATCTAGTCAGGTAAAAGTGAGACTTTGTGATCTATCGAATGTGATGTAATAGTTATAATGAGTCATTTTTGGAGCACTTTTATAGTATAATAAAAGGTGTCTAATAAGACTTAGTGCTTAATTTTGTGCTTTCAAAATACATCAATTATGATAAATGTTAACACTGAACATTTGCAGAATTAAGTTCCATATTTGTTAGGAAATTTCCATGGATATAACTTGCTTCTTTTAGTATTCTTCATGCCTGGGAGTGAATCCTAACTTCTTAGCAAAATTTTCATGTAGCAACTTTGACAGTTGGCCATGTCTTATGTTCTTATCTTTATTGTCTCTGACTTTTTTCTGCCTCACCTTGATAGGACACTTAAATTTGCAAATGTATCCAAGTTGTGTAACCTAACCCATGCTTGGCACTTGGGGTTCTGAATATTTAGCCAGGAATAGATCAGTTATCTTATTAAGGCAGATGGCTGCAGATACAGAATTTTGATGAAGTGATAAGGGACTATGTCTAGACCCAAACAGAGCAAGATCTAATGCTTTCTGTAATCAGGTGGCAACTGATAATAGCCATGCTTGGATGATGGCAAGAACTGTGAACATGAGCACAGAAACGTACAATTTTGAGGATCTTTTGGAGATGATTTGTAGTAGAAAGACTAAGGGTGGAGTCTTGGTTCAGTAATTTATGTGTTGTGTGACTGAGAGCAAGACTTGTTTCTTAAATGTTCATTTATTTATTTTGAGAGAGAGCGAGCGAACGGCAGAGGGGCAGAGGGAAAGTGAGAGAGAGAGAATCCCAAGCAGGCTCTACACTGACAGCACAGATCCCAAAGTGGGGTCAGTCCCACAAACAGTGAGATCATGACCTGAGCCATAACCATCAGATGGTTAACCAACTGAGCCACCCAGGTGCCCCAAGTCTGAATTTGTTATTCCAACTAACTGGCTATTAAGTTGAGCCAAAATGGATTACATACATAATAGCAACAAAAAGCACAAAAATTAGGAAGAATTTCAGGAAGCTAAAAAGTTTTTTTGAATGTTGTTAGATAAGATTAAATATTGTAAATGTCAGTTCTTATCACATTAACTTACAGTGTAAGTAGGAGTTTAGTAAAAATAGTAAGAGAATACTTTTTGGATATGTAGAAATACTTAAGAAGAACAAAGGAGGGAATATAAAACAGGATTCTAAGAAAGGAGAGTAGGAGATTGGTAAGAAATAATTCTAAAAATATTAAAACAAAATATTTTAATAGTTAAACGAGTCAACGGCACAAATAATTTCAATAGTATATCCCAGAAATTAAATAATTGAAAAAAGTAATCACTACAAGTCATACTCAATTCATGAGTTTGGAATACAACAGTTTGAAAAAGACATAAGTAATGTCTCACTTCATTACTGGATACTGCTATAAAACACTAAATATTAAATCAGAAGAAAAAGCTTATTAAATTATTAAATGAGGTTGATTATATTTTGAAGAGATAGAAGAGTTCGCAAAGATAAACATGAAAAGATTTGATTAATGAAAAATCAAATGCTTTTTGTAAGTTAAACAAAATACTTCCAATCCCTTCCAAAAAAACAAGGAAAATATTAGGGAAAAAACTATAGCCAAAATGATAAAGTATTACTTAATAGTTCAAGGCTCATACAAATGGAAAAAAAAACCCAAACTAAACAACGTGCTTAAATTTATTATTTAGGCACATTGATCTGTTTGACAAATTCATTCATAAAAACTGTTTGATAGAAGTTTGGACTTCTAGGTTATTATTTTTTATCTGAAGATAGATATATCTCCAGTAAAAATGAAGTAATTAACGTGAATACCAAATGGACCAACTTTGGTCACTAGATGTGATTCTTATTATTAAAAGTGAAACAATCTTTCTGGCCACTTTAGGAAGCACACATCTACATTATATCTATCCTAGCCTATGGTATTTGCCTTTTAGCAACTTGATGAAAGGTAAATAAAAAATTCATGATAGAGTAAAAGGTTTCAAGAAATACCAGGAGAGTATATAGTTGGTAACCAATCTAATTATATATCAAAAGTACACTTGCTCCTAATTTCAATATGGCTAATTAAGTAAATTGACAAAGAGCCTAAAATTCTTCTTCTTTTTGCCCTCACACATCTTGGAAAAAAATAGATACCCAGAAATAAACAGCCAAAATAAGCAAGCCCCGAATAAATGGTAGTGGTCAATATCAAAACATTAACTGGTAAATAATGGAATGAAAGTAAAATATAGTCCTTTAGAAAATATTTTTATTTTCTTGGCACACAGTAAAATGACATTTCTTACTAGATATAGCAGTTGAAGACATATTAGACACAGATTATAATTCACATAGGTTTTATTGTCCACAGATATGATGACAGGTGTAATGTTTCCTCAACTATTCTTGAAACATTAAATTATCACAGCATACTAGTTCTACTGGGAAACTTACTTCTCATGTTAAAGAGTAAGACTGATCTGGATTAGTGAAGAACCAAGGCATGGAACCATCGCCGAAATGTCATATAATGATACCTCATCCAACATATTCAGGAATGAAGCATTCTATTTAAATGTTCTTTAGTCAAATGACATTTATGCCTCTAAAGTCTAAAACCATTATTTTAACCACTTTTGATGAAATAATATCTAACATGCCTTCTTAAGCTTTAAAAAATATCATGCAGATTATCACAATGTTCTTTCCCTAATATTCCTTATTGGAATATCAACCACTTAATTTTCTAGTACAACATGATATCCTTAAAAATTATGGAGGTAGGGGAATTGCCCTACAACCCAATATGGCTATGTTTTAGAAATTCTCAACTTTTATCTACCTACCTACCTACCCATCCATCCATCCATCCATCCATCCATCCATCCATCCATCCATGTTATTTAATCATCAGCTATTACTTCTTGCTTTTATTAAGTACACTGGTTTTTCAATTATTTTTCTTACTACCTTTATTTATTATTTAAAAAATTTTAATGTTTATTTTTGAGAGAGAGAGAGAGAGCGAGCGAGCAAGCACATGAGTGGGGGAGGGTCAGAGAGAGAGGGAGACACAGAATCCGAAACAGGCTCCAGGCTCTGAGCTGTCAGCACAGAGCCCGATGTGGCTCTTGAACTCAAGGACTGTAAGATCACGACCTGAGCTGAAGTTGGATTCTTACCCGACTGAGCCACCCAGGTGCCCCATTTCCTACTACCTTTAATACAGAAGTTAAAGTACAGCAACATAACTGCATAAGCCTTTGAAGACTAATGGTTTTCTCTCTCAAGGAAGGACATTCCTTTTAACTACAAAGCTTAGAGGAAGTTATAAATTGAGCACTGAAGAAGGAAGGGAAACTTGGAAACCAATGTGTTTATAGACAGTGATCAGATTAATATCACAACTCTCCTTCAATTTCTAGATTTAATCTGCTTTAAGTTGGGAAGCCAAAAAAGCAAGCTAGTTAAAACTATTTTTAAAAAATTTTTAATGTTTATTTTTGAGAGAGAGAGAGAGCGAGTGAGCGAGCAGGGGAGGAGCAGAGAGAATGGAGGACACAGAATCCAAAGTAGGCTCCAGGCTCTCAGCTGTCAGCACAGGGCCGGACCTGGGGCTGGAACCCACGGACCTCGAGATCATGACTTGAACTTAAGTTGGATGCTCAACCGATTGAGCCACCCAGGTGCCCCTAGTTAAAACTATTTCTAAAGTGTGGTCTGTTTTGAAGAAGGCTGTTCAATATACATTAAGTTGCATGAGCTTTTGAGCCTGGGAATTTGATATCTTCAATATTCATATAATTTTGCTACCTAAAAGTTTTAGTTTACTTTCTTTTCTTATTTTTATTTCTCAATCATACTTAAGATGGTTGGGTATGTTACCTTTAACTGAGAAAAGTATTATTGTACCATTATTTTATTAACTATAAATATACCACTGAATAATATTAAGTAGTGATGAAAGGATTTTTGCAACTATTTTCTTACAACTAAAAGTATAATGATCTTATTTAAGCGTTTTTTAAGACAAAAGCAGTAAACAATAAAAAAAGTTCCATCTAGAGAATACGTATTATTCAAAAATATCAACTCATATAAATGTTAAAAACCTTTTTCCTTTTATGACTTTTCAGATTTAAGGTAATGAACAACTTTTCAAATGATTCTTTTTGAATTCAAGAGAACTACTAAAGTCATGTCTATATTTTTATTATATTAAGATTGTTCTCAGTACTAAACTTGTCAATGTAGGCTTTAGTTAATAGGAAACTAGTATCTGCTATGATCTATCAATACACTTTCACACAGAAACTAAAAATAAGTGTTAAGTTTTAGAAAATTAATATAACACACAAAAAAAGAAAATTAATATAACATTTTTTTTAAGTTCTCATAAATATGCCCAACAATGTGTATTTTGATAATGTGAACCATCTTGGGGCGCCTGGGTGGCTCAGTCGGTTAAGCGACCGACTTCGGCTCAGGTCAAGATCTCATGGTTTGTGGGTTCGAGTCCCATGTGGGGCTCTGTGTTGACAGCTAGCTCAGAGCCTGGAGCCTGTTTCAGATTCTGTATCTTCCTCTTTCTCTGACCCTCCCCTGCTCACACTGTCTGTCTCTCCCTCTCAGAAATAAATAAAACATTTAAAAACTTAAAAAAAAAGAAATAAAAACAGAATGTGAGCCATCTCATAGTAGGAAACTGGAACTCAAGATTAATTTTACAAAACTATTTTTAGGAAATAAATTCTTAAATGCTTGTGTTTTTTCATATATCCTATGTATCATTAACCTAAGCAAATTATGGCATTCATTATATTAAAAACATATTAATATTTTAGTGAAAAAAAACCCCACAATGAACATCTGTGCTCTATCTCTGAACATAACATTGTAGATAGATACTTCCGTGATTCAGTAATCAGTTAATATTTATCGAATACAGTGTAGAGGGTGCTAGGAATAATATAGTAAAAGGTGAGAACATTAGTTAACTACAGCATAATCAATATGTATTATTACTGAAGAAAATATATACCAGAATCTAAGGATACTTTTCCATTTCTTTCATTATTACATTGTCATACTTAATTTTTACTTATGTACAAGTAGAAGATTACATGATTTTTCTGTTTCAAACTCTGGATTTCAAATTCTTTATTTCTAGACATTATAGGAATACTTCATGAATTCAAAAGAAAAACATCCCATTGGTAATGGTAGTTTTTCTTTCTGATTCAAATCAAAAGCTACCTCTGTACATTAGAAACAAAAGAAAAGAAAAAACCAAATCAATGTTTTTAAAGTCTTACTTAATTGGGCATCAATATTATATAAATGAGATTTTTAAAAATAACTTGAACCTCTGCATATAAAGCCTTTATATTATATTTTGAGCTTGCATTCCACAATACAAGTATTTGCATACTTAATACACATCCATGAATCAGCTATAAGTCATAAAGTGTTTCAAGAATAGTAGCAATTGACCAGGCTTGTGTTTCACAGCTGAAAGGGCAGTATTGGCCATTCTCATTGGTCAGTTCAGGAAGTCCTTTCCAAGGGGATCTTAAAGAAATAAAAGACATTTTATGAGATACAATCTAACACATCTTATTTTGATTAAAAAATAGGCACTGCACTTGGTGGTTTTCCTTTCTAGTATAGAAAAACAATCATATCTAGTCATTTGCTACAAAACAGAACAGGATATCCTAAAAGATCTATGTATTAAGAATTTAGATTGAAATTATTCTTTGATATTCAATGTTTGGGATTTAAGATTTCCAACCACAAAAGATTCCTTTTTTTTAAAAAAATTTTTTTTAATGTTTTTTATTTATTTCTAGGAGAGAGAGAGAGACAGCGTGAGCAGGGGAGGGTCAGAGAAAGAGGGAGTCACAGACTCTGAAACAGGCTCCAGGCTCTTAGCTGGCAGTCAGCACAGAGCCCGACGCGGGGCTCGAACCCACGAACCGTGAGATCATAACCTAAGCGAAAGTTGGACGCCTAACCGACTAAGCCACCCAGGCGCCCCAAAAGATTCCTTTTATGTATTAAAAACAGGGGGCACCTGGGTGGCTCAGTTGGTTGTGTGTCCGACTTCGGCTTAGGTCATGATCTCATGGTTTGTGAGTTTGAGCCCTGTATTGGGCTCATTGCTGTCAGGGCAGAGCCTGCTTCAGATCCTCTGTTCTCCCCTCTCTCAGCCCCTCTCCTGCTCTCTCTTTCTCAAAAAATAAATAAACATTAAAAAATGAAAACAGAAGAAACTACCATTCCAAGCATATACAGAGAGACAAATACCCTCTCACGTCTAATCTTAGTACTTTCAAATTAAGTTTATGAAATTCAAATTGTGATTATGTAAATTTTGACAAAATTTTAAAACTAATATAGAATAATGAAACATTGAGAGCTATGACTAGGAAAGCAGTGCCAATTAAAAAAAATTCTGGTGGCCCCTGGGTGACTCAGTCGGTTGAGCATCCAATTCTTGAATTTGGCTCAGGTAATGATGCCAGGGTTGTGGGATCAAGTTCTGCGTCTGGCTTGCACTGAGCATGGAGCCTGCTTAAGATTGTTCCCTCTCCCTCTGCCCTTCCCTGCTCTCATGCTCTCTCTCAAAAACAAGAACAATCTGAATTTTTATTCTAATCTCTCATTCTACTGAATAATAATACAGGTAGTATTTATTGGGCATTTATTATGTTCTAAGTGACTTATGTACATTATCTCATTTAATGCTCATGGCAACTCTGTAAGGCAAGTACCATAATCATTTGTATTCACAGAGCAGATAAGAGGTTTATAGACGTTAATTGTTCCAGGTCTCATTATCAGAACACAGTATTGTTATCCTATCAAGTTTATTCTTTTTTTAAACTTTGTTTGCTTGTTTGTTTAAGTAATCTGTATACCCAACATGGGGCTTGAACTTACAACCCTGAGATCAAGAGCTACATAGTCTTGTAACTGAGTCGGCCAGGTGCCCCTCAAATTTATTCTTTTTTAAAAAAGTGTTTATTTCTTTATTGAGAGAGAGTGAGAGAGACAGAGAGGATAGAGAAAATCTCAAGGAGGCTGCAGCTGTCAGCTCAGAGCCCAAACTTATGAACCACAAGATCATGAACTGAGCAGAAATCAAGACTCAAATGCTGAACCAACTAAGCCACCCAGGCGCCCCTCAGATTTATTCTTAATTTCAGTGTAATTTCTTTAAACATGAAACATAAAGTTAAAAAATCCAGAATTCTGTACTGTTTCATTTTTAAAGTTGGGTTACGGGAATGTGTTTTTTCCACCCTTGTAACATTGTAACTCATGGCTGTGTAAAGAGTGTATGTTACATTATACTCTTCTGTAGGTATTAAATTTTTCATAATAAAAATGTAGAAAAATAATTCCCTTACGTAAATATGGAGACAGTTTAGATAACAACCAATAATAATAACACTACCACCACTACCACCAGCTAGGTACCATATTTAAAAAACCATCATAGAGAAATTCAAAACATAGAAACTTGCTTCCAAGTGATCAAGTTACTTCTGAGTAAAATGCCAAATTACTGAAGTTGGGTACCAGGGTATCTGTAGTGGGTTGAATTGTGTCCTCTTCAAAATTCATATGTTGAAGTCCCAACCCTCAATAACTCAGAATGTCAACTAGTTTGGATATAGGGTTGTTACAGATGTAATTAGTTAAGATGAGGTCATGCTGGAATAGGATGGGCCCCCAATCCAATATGGCTGGTGTCCTTACAAAAATGGAGAAATTTGGACAAAGAGATGCACACAGAAAGAAAGTGATGTGAAGACTGGAATTAGGCTGCCAGAAGCCAAGGAATTCCCAGAAGCTGGGAGACAGGGCTGGGAGAGATCCTTCCCTAGCATCGTCAGAGCATGGCCCTACTAACACCTTGGTTTCAAACTTCTAGCTTCTAGAACCATGAGGTGATAAAGTTCCTTATTTAAGCTATTCACTTTGTAGTGCTTTGTTATGGCAGAGTTAGCGAACTAATACAGTACTGAAATTAAGAAACAAAACAAGCTTATAGAACCAATAATATGCTGCTCATAGTTCTATGTGGAACTCGCACATGGAACATATCCATACTGATATAAAGAAGTCTTCTTTCCCTGCCTTTCTGAAAGAAATCCATTCCTCACATCATCAGGTGGGACAAAGTAGGAAGGCTTGATCCCATGAACCATGAGATCATGCCCTGGGCCAAAATCAAGAGTCAGATACTTAACTGACTGAGCCACCCAGGTGCCCCTATAATAAAGCATTTCTGAAAATTATTTATTGACATATCTTTATTTTTATTTCATTTATTTAGTTTTATTTAGTTTTAAGTTATTCTAATTTCATTTATTTATTTTTCAAATTATTCTAAATTTAAAAAGTTTTAACATACAGTGTTACATTAGTTACAGGTATACAATATAATGACCCAGCAATTCTATACATTACTTGGGTGCTCATCAGGATAAGTGTAGTCTTAAATCTCTTCATCTATTTCATCCATCCCTCCACCTACCTCTCCTCTGGCAACCACATAAATCTTTAAATTAGCTAACTCAAAATTCCCAGCATGAGTACTTTTAGTTTTTGTATTTATGCTGTTCTAATCATACCCCAAAATATCCACTAAATTTAAAAAGTCAGACGATTCCACATGTATAAATCACACAATATCAAGTCTCCAAATCAAAATAAATAACAACCTAAACTAATTAAAGGAAGGTAAAAATTACATCATTGAATTTGTCATGTTAAATAAGAGTAAAAATTTCAAATTTTATTGTGGTACTTAGAGTATACAGAAATTAATTCTAAGGAGCTGTTATTTAACTAATATCTAATAAACTGACTAAATACTGTTATGGAAATTACATCCCTCCAAGAACTTACCTCTCAAGATGAACGTAATGTCGGGAAAGAACATTTTTAACCAAAAATACAGTCTTTGCATTAGCCTCCGGTCCCATCAATTTGGAAAAATACAATTTCGCACGAAGAAAATACCCGACGGGCCACAGCCACTCCTAAAAAAGATGATTTAAAGGTAAAGGAGGAAAAAAAGAGCTGTTAATATTTATAAAGTTATTTGAAAAATAACAAACTGAAAATTCTGAACAGAGAAATGAAATTCTTACAGGTCCTTGATGATAATTGAAACCTTTAGCAAGACTGTAGTTGTCATTGTCTAAGGCGTTGTCATAAATACCACAGTAAACCATATCACTGCAAAATTATTGAAATTTAGGTTAGAGAAAGACCAGACATCACATAAGCATTAGAAAGATTTTTCAATAGCAAAGGTAAAAGAAAGAATCAAATTATTTTGTCTTCCAAATCTATAGGATAAGCTCATCTTCCATTTAACCTTAAATTAGTATATATTGGGTTCAGAATGTCTTTTTTTACAATCCACTTAAAAAGATGTGTTTGTTTTTTAATGTTTTATTTATTTCTGAGAGAGAGAGAGAGAGAGAGAGACAGTGTGAGCAAGGGAGGGTCAGAGAGAGAGGGAGATACAGAATCTGAAACAGGCTCCAGGCTCTGAGCTAGCTGTCAGCACAGAGCTTGACGTTGGGCTCGAACCCACGAACCAGGAGATCATGACCTGAACCGAAGGTAGACGCTTAACCAACTGAGCTACCCAGGCGAACTTGTTTGTTTTTAAGTAAGCTCTCTGACCACCATGGGGCTTGAACTCACAACCCAGAGAACAAGAATCACATGCTCTACTGATTGAGCCCAGCCAGGCCTCCCCAGAATACCCCCATAATAGTGTGTGACGGAATACTGTGTGAGGGAATGATTAACAAATACTTACTGGCTAATACAAAAAAATATAGTATTCAGGTATCTAGCCTTCAAGGAGTTAGTCTGGCACTAAATATTAGTTAAATTCAATTATTTCACTAAGCTTCTAATATACTTATGATAATTAAAATATATACAAAATAAATTAGTAAACATTAAAGATATGGTTTTATTAAATATTACATATTGGAAAGATTGTTTTTAAGCTTCTCCATTAAGTTATTTAAAAATTAATTAACGTTAGTACATTATCAGATTACAAATAGTAACCAAATGGACATAGAAAATTTATACAAACTTATAAACTAAACAAAATATTACAGGCTTATTGCAGCAGATAACACAAGGTAGTTATCTATACTCAGTTTAATTTGTTAGTTTTCTTTTTTCCTTTAGTGAGAGACAGAACTTGCCACATGAGTAAGCTGTATTTATTTATTTACTTATTTTCAAATGAGTAAGGTTTAACTGTGGGTTTTAGTTTTGACCAGTGGCTTATAACACCTCTGAAAAATGTGCAGAACACTTCAGAATGCAGATAAGTATACATACAAAAAGTCTGCACCTCAAGATTGAAACAAGTACATAGTAAATTAGGAAAATTCTACAAAGGTGAGGGTATTATATAGAAATGCAACTCGGTCACCTATTGATATAGAAAGCAAATTAATTTTGGGCATCAAACTTTAAAAGAAAATCACAGAAGACAAATGGAGGTCATTAGAAATTCAAGAAAGTTGTAAAGGAAAAGAAACATAAAATGGTATAAACACCTAACTATAAAGTAAAAACAAAATCAGTTAATGGTCAAAAGAAAAATAGTGGTGTAATTATACAGAAAGAATGGAATGGCTGCTGGTGAGGATAGAGTTAAATCCTCATCTGTTACCACAAGAAATAACCAAACAGTGTCTAATATTTTTTTTAAAAATCAAGAAATAGTTGCATACACATATTATTTGGTAATATGGGGGGTGGCACCTGGGTGGCTCAGTTGGTTTCATGTCTGATTCTTGATTTCGGTTCAGGTCGTGATTTTGCTGTTTCTAAGATTGAGCCCTAAGTTCCGCTGACAGTGCAGAGCCTGCTTGGGATTCTCTCTTTCTACCCCTCCACCACTCACACACTCTCCCTCTCAAAATAAACTAATAAAAAATTTAAAAAAGAAGAAATATGGAGGGATGTGCTAGGGGTAATACCTTGGAAAACTTTATAAAGACTATGTTGGAAGAGCCAGTATGTGTATACTTCTAATGTCCATAATAATCATGTATTACTTTTACAATCAGAAAAAATAGGCGTGAGGATATATTCATGACATATTAGTTTTATAAACATAAAACTTACTGATTATTAAATATAGGACAAGCATTGTGAACACTGATGTTTAATGAAGATACAGATGGTGTTTTTAAAAACTCAGTTTGAATGCAATTTTAGAGTTTACTGACAAGCAAAAAAATTATGGTTGATGCAATATAACATCAACAACATTCCTAATACTTATACTACAATGTACTCTGGCTCCTAATTTTTCATGCCAATATTAAATATAAATATAATTATATATAGAATACAATATGAATAATATTCTTAATATTCATAGTCTAACTTACTCTGGATCCAAAGTTTTCATGCCGAGGGGACCAAGCAATTTTTTTTCTGCAATCTCCAAAGCTTTCCATGCTTTTTCTGCAGTAAAGAGCTCAGGGGCCTAATGAGTATCAAAAGCGAATATTCAAACTTTATAAAATAATAAAAGAATTAGTTTCCACTCACAGTGGAACATTAACTATTCACAAACTTAGAAATGAAAATGGTTTAAAAATACAGTGTGGTTCAGAAATCGTTTCAAGTGCAGCAGCAGCTTAGCCAGATCTGACGCTATGGAGCTGATGTGGGAGTGCTGTCCTTGGCCTTAGAAGTGAGGAAAGCTGTTAGACATGATTATTTCCTTGTGTCTTTTTAAGAAAGCGTAGGAGCTTCAAAAGGAAGTTACCTCAGCTATAATGAAGGCAGAACACACTTACAACCATCTAATTTATTTTTCAGATTTACAATAGCTTCCTTTAAGTATATCTAGTAGTCATTTTTTTGCTTTTGGGGTCATAGTAAAATACAGAATGACCTGCACTCTAACAGCATGAGTAAGTGTACTTGTGATATGGAGGAGAGAAAGCACTGGTGGCTAAGAATCTGCATTAATTGTAATAGTTAAACGAAATCAAATGCACACTGAATAGAAGCTATCTTTATGTACTTTTGCATTTTTTATTCTTTTTTTTGCATTTTTTATTCTACTGAAATTTATAGTTCCATGTTTAATACTTTTTTTTTGACAAGGTGGAGACACCTAGGCATGCATGGAAGAACACATCCCATCTCTATTTTACTGTCCTTATAGTTTATTTTTAGACTAAGTAGAGGTAAAATAAAGAGAGTCTAGAATTCTAGAATGAATTACTATCAATGCAACAAAGGAAATAGAATAGGAGTTGAAGCTACATTCATTAGTTCAGCAGTCCAGATCTTTTCAGCTGGCGTGCTCAGGCCCTGGTCAGAGCACAGGTGTGCCCAAATACAGATGCCACCAGCTTTCAAGTTGGGTGGGGCCTGGGGCTAACTGAAGCAGTTGCATGTGGCATGATCAACCTAATTCATTTAGCCCAATGTACTGTGTATCATTGTTTTCTATGTGTGCTATGATATGAAAAACGTTGGTAAGCACTCCATTAGTCATCGTCTATTATTTTTTATTTTTTGATACCGAATGTCGTAGGTAAAGGGTGGTATGCATAATGCTTAATTCATTTAAAAAGACTATATAAAACTAGCTAGTAAACAATTTACTTTCTGGCAACTACATGAATTTGAAAACAAATGGGAATAAAGAACTAAATACGCCCTATCACAACATTTTTGAAATTTGAAAGAAGCAATTCACTTACTACAACCATTGCTATGGTGAAATTAGGCCTGAGCTGATAGTCACACCAGGGGCTTGAAGCTCCGTAGCTATCCTTGTATATGCCGCGTTTGTGAACCAGATTAGGGTGCTTTTCGTTACAGTCGGAAGGGTCTTCTGACACATAAAATAGCTTTTCAAAGTTGTCTTGTATTTTTCTGTTCCACTCATCATATGAGATTGTCACAACCTTTCCTGAACCATGATAAAAGACGTGACAGTTTTAAACATTCAAAGAAATCCATACATTTAGTTATAGCCAAAGAGTAATATCAAGGCAATAAATTACCCACTTCTTACAAGTGTCAGGGTCTTTTGAAGGACTCTAGCTTGAAATTAAAAATATTTTTTGTTGTATTACCAGAAAGAATCAGACTCCAGTGAATGATCCCTGATTTGTCTTTGTATCACTCTCAACGTGTTTGATAAAGTTACATTTACTGTGCACTTGAAATGAGGCTACTCTGAATTAAGAAGTGCCAGAAGTGTAAATATATACTGGAATTCAGAGAAAATACTCTCCCCACAAAAGAATGTAAAACAGCTCATGAATAATTTCATGCTTATTACATGTTGAAATAATATTTAGCACATATTGAGTTAATAAAGTCTATTACCATAATTAGTTTCACCTGATTCTTTTTACATTTTTTAATGTGAGTACTAGAAAATTTTAAATTATATTTCTTTTGGACAGCATAGCTCCAGAGAAAGGAATGTAAAGATTTCCTAAGTGTTAACAAAAAGCAGCTTGCTCAGTCACATTAAGGAAACGAATAGCACAATAAAGCAATTAACAATGATGCTTTTCATATCTCAGTTCAAAGCTGCTTTAAAAATATGGTTAGTAACCAGGTTTGTGACAATTTCATACTAGTAAATTAATGTTTTTTCTCTCCTCTTAATCTTAAGGGTTTTCTAATATTAGTTCATTGAGTCAAATGATTATTATGTAGATTAAGAGTATAGACCGTACATTTAAAGTCTTTTTTAAAATAAAGCGAAAACTTACCATGTCTTTTTATGCGGACTTCATGATAAGGGAAAATTCTTTTTTTGGATAATTCCAGCAACCAACGGACAGCAGATTTACTCAGGCCCACAATTTCCACAGCAGACCCATCTCTAAAATTAAAGTAAATTTTACTCTGTGAGTTGGGTCATTTAAGCACTACTTAAATGGCATTCAGTAAACAATTCTGATGATCTATATAATTAATATATTATAAAAATAATTAGCTATAAAAACCCTTTATTGAAATGTATACTGCAAAAAAAAAAAAAAAAAAAGAAATGTATACTGCATATATAAGAAATTTCTCCTCTAATTATTTTGCCACTGCTTCCCATCTTAACAATTAAAAAAAGTTGTGTGAAGTGAAATGGTGATTCTGGAGTTAAAGGAGACGGCAGCTGGAAAAGGGAAGGGATCAGAAAATACTGAAACAGAGGACCACAGACAGCAAACATGGGATATAGGGCTGGAGATGGCCAGGGAAAGAATATCTAATAATCTGAAAGGTTTTTTTTTTTTTTTTTTTTTATTAAAGAGAGAGAGAGAGAGAGCACACACAAGCAAGCATGAGTTGCGGAGAGGGGCAGAGGGAGAGAGAGAATCTTAAGCAGGCCCCATGCCCAGCACAGAGCCTGAAGCGGGTCTTGATCCCACACCCTAGGATCATGACCTGAGCTGAAATCAAGAGTTGGATGTTCAACCCACTGAGCTACCCAGTGTCCCTGAAAGTTCATTTTTAAGGAAAATGAAAGGGAAGTCTGAGACCTAATAATGTACCCAAATAATCATGCTTTAAAAAGAACTTGCAAAGCATGTAACAATAGCTATAGCTTTAAAAAGAACTTGCAAAGCATGTAACAATAGCTACAATTAAATGATTTTTTTCACAGTTCTGACTGAAGATAATAAAAAAAGAGGTTCTCAGACTTGATACTATATTAAGCATTTGAAACCATAAAAAGAAATAATGGGAGAAGAGATAAAAAATTTAGGAGGAAAAAAGGTTGAGAAACTAAAAGTATTTTATAAAGGACAGGATAATGGGTTGTTTTCTATATGTATGAAAGATGGGCATAATGAAATGTTTACAATGAAAGCATTGCAGGTTAAGAAAAGATCTTAATTAGAGGGGTAATGAATCATAAAACTTTTCTTTGAGGTGCTTGTAGAGAATCACCCCACGAGAACTTCCCAAAAAGAACAAACAGCTTTACTTGATGACTTGTAACAAGAGACTTGTGTGTATTGTGGGAGAGGGAGGAGTGGCAGGGAGGAAGATTTTCACTGATTTAGTATGAAGATTCTGTGGTTAATAGAATAAAAGATTCCACAAGTACGTGGTATTGAAAAGGGTACAATAGCAAAGGCACCATACAAATGAACACTACCTTGGAGTGGCTGGGATTCCTCTGTTTCTTGCTCTGTCACTTTCTCCCATTTTATCCATCCATGTGCCGCAATTTAAGCGATTTCCTCCATACACAAACCCTGTTTCTTCGTCAACTCCTGCGGTTATATTAAAGCCTGGAAAAGCAAAATGACACATTTATAAAATCTGAAAGGAATATAATAAACTGGACAGCTACTCTGGAGAGCAATGTGGTAATGCCTAAAGCTGAAGATGTGCAGGTTCTACCACAGAGAGATTTCATTTCTAGACACATACGTTAGAGAAATCCTTACCTATGGGCATATGAAGGTATATTTCATTTCTAGACACATACGTTAGAGAAATCCTTACCTATGGGCATATGAAGGTATGTACAAGGATATTCAATGCAATACTGTATTAGCGAGGAAATAAATAACTGTTGAACAGAGGAGTGAACAAACACCGTGCTTTATTCATACAGTGTAAAACTCTCTACCATTTCAAATTAACGAACTAGATTTACATGAATCACAATGGACAAAACCCCCAAACAAAATGATTGAGCAAACAAAGTTGCAAAAGGATATGCATATTAAGATATCTTTTCTTAAAAGTTTAAAATATAGACAATACTAATATATACAACCATATATGTCTATATGACTATGTCTAATACAATAATATTTGTATAAAATTTAAAAACATACAAAATAGTTATGTGTATATATTATATAATATACTGAACATACACTATATTATATACTGAAAATACACTATATAATATACATTATGTTTACCATATTATATACTGAATATACTATATTATATACTTAATATATACTATAAACTATACATATATATTGTATATACATGATATACATACATAATATATTTACATATCTTTTCACATATACTTAAACACAAATTCATAAAATGCAAAACATACATGTAAATAATAAACCCTGATTATAGCATAGTCATTAATTTTAGAAAGGGAGGGAAGAGAGAGAGATGATGAAGCTTTACATACATCTCTAATGGTTTATTTATTTTCAAAGCAAAACAGAAAGATCTGAAGAAAATATGACCAAATGTTAATATCTAATTTTATTTCTAGGTTTCAATGTATAATTTATGTTGTTTTCTCTAACTGAAATGTTTTACAATTAAATCTAAAAACAAATAATTCAGAGATATCATAAAAAATGTTCTTTTAAATATAAAATCTATATCTATTTAGTTTCTTACTGAAAGATAAAAAAGTATCAATGATTTTTACCAGTTCAATCATGTATAAAATTTGTATGTTACCATTACAAACAATAAATTAAGTAAATGGAGTTTAACTATCGTTTTGTTTTTTGAGAGAGAGAGAATGAGTGAGCAAGGGACAGAAGGAGAAGGAGACAGAGAATCTCGCAATGGGTAGAGAGAGGGGGAGGGAGGAAGACTGAGAGAATCCCGAAGCAGGACTCCAACTCACCTGATATGGGGCTTGAACTTACAAACTGTGAGATCATGACCTGAGCCAAAGTTGGATGCTTAACTGACTGAGCCACTCAGGCATCCCTAACTACTGTTTAAAATGTAATTTAGAACATGCAAGAAGGAATATAAGTTTTTGAGTTTATGTCAAAATTTGTCAGTGAGTTAGTGAGTTATCTGAAATAGTTGAAATAGATCACTTAAAAAGATTATCATTTCACATTAAAAACAAGTGTTTAAAGGGGCATCTGGGTGGCTCAGTCGGTTAAGCGTCTGGCTTCGGCTCAGGTTATGATCTCGTGGTTCGTGGGTTCGTGCCCCACATTGGGCTCTGTGCTGACAGCTAGCTCAGAGCCTGGAGCCTGCTTCAGATTCTGTGTCTCCCTCTCTCTCTGACCCTCCCCTGCTCACGCTGTCTCTCTCTCTCTCTCTAAGAAATAAAAAAAAAATTAAAAACAAACAAAAAAACAAGTGTTTAAAAAAAGAGCAAAAACAAGAGTCCATGATCCTATTACCCTAACAAAAACTATTACATTTATGTATTCCTTCCTAGTCTTTTCACATAATAGTAAAATTTTCGTAAATATTTTATATCTAACTATTTTTCATGTATTAGATTTAACACCCATATAGTTCTTAATATTTAAATATTACACAAATTATAAAAATTATAATTTGTAGGAATTACATAATTTTTCATTCAAGGAAATGTAAACAGGGGCACCTGGGTGGCTCAGTTTAAGTAACAAGCTCTTGGTTTAGGCTCAGGTCATAATCTCACAGTTCGTGGGATCGAGCCCTGTGTCGGGCTCCACACTTAGTGTGAAGCCTGCTTGGGATTCTGTCTCTCCCCCTCGGTCTGCCCCTACCCCTCTCATACTCACACACACTCTCTCTCTCAAAATAAATAAACATTAAAACAAAACAAATGAAGTCAATGTAAACATTTCCTCTTAGAATTATTTCATTCTTTTCTGTGATTATAAGAAATGTTATGGTCAATATCATGTAATATGGCTTTTTTGTGTGTTTTAGATGATTTCATGGACTAGATTCCCAGAAATGGAATAACTTTATGAACAAAAACATGTGAATGTTTTATAGCTCATAGAGCATATCTGGATCTCTCTCTCTCTCCAAGTTGCTTTTCAAGAAGAATGAATCAATTTATAATGCCATCAGTAGTATCTGAATATCTCTCAAAACCAGAATCTGTTATTTATTACTGTTTGTTATGGATTGAATTGTGTGAATGCCCAAATTCATATGTTGAAGTCTTAACCCCAGCACATCAGAATGTGACCTTATTTCCACAAAGGAATTTTAAAAAGTTAATCACATTAAAATAAGGTCATTAGCCTGAGCTTTAATCCAATTTGACTAGTGTCCTTATAAGATGAGGAATTCTGTGCACAGACAATGCACAGAAGGAAGCTGATGTGATGATACAGGGAGAACACCATGTAACCATGAACATGGCCATCTACTAGCTACGGAGACAGGCCTGGAACATATCCTTCTCTCATAGCCCAAAGGTTAAGTCAACCCTGCCAACACCCAAATTTTGGACTCCTAGCCTCTAGTACTGAGAGACGATATATTTCTGTCATTTAAGCCACCCAGTCAGTGTGTGGTGCTTTGTTATGGCAGTCCCAGCAAATGAATATGTTGTTTTCTTGCTAATAATAAACAGTAGACTTACAGCACTCACTATGTGCCATGCACTGCTCTAAGTGCTTTAACACACGTTTCATTGAATCCTCAAATCAACCTTGGGGGTAGGCGCTACTGCTATCACCCTTTTACAAATGTAGAAGAGAGGGCCAAAGAGAAGTTAAAACTTATCCAAGGGAACACAGCTAGAAAATGAGCAGAGATGGGATTTTTAAGATAGCAAGTCTGCTTCTAGCATTGGCCCTTTCTTTCATGCTCTGCAGTCTCTCATGATAATTTAGTAGGGGAAAAATGGTGACCCACTTTAATATGAAATTGTTTGAGTTCTGTAAGACTGAATGCTTCTCTCATGTTTATGAATGGACTATCTGTGTATGTCCTTGGGCAAACTACCTGCCAACCTCTCCTTCCTATTCCCTGTACTGTGAGCTCAGGACAGAGGTACCAGCCTCTGGAAAATGTATGCAAAGTAATACACAAAGGCAAGGATGCTTTTAATTTATCTGATATTAAATATATGACAGTAATTGCACAATCAATAGTTAGTGGTTTTCCTCTCAGAGATTTAGAGAAGGTCAACAGAAACATACACAAAAAGGTACATCGGCTAATGTAACTATAAAAGAATGGGTTGCTTCAAATGTACAAAAAAGTACAAAGAAATCCTATTTTTGTAGTTTCTGATGAAACAGCAGAGTATCCTAAGCTATTGGCTCTCTCCCCAAAATCAACCCTAGAGAAACTATAGAAGTAAGTATGAGGTATTGATCTGAAAAATTCACATTTTGGGGAGAAACTGATAAAAGTAAATGAAAATTGACCAGCCACTCTTGAGCTTTCACTCTATCTTTGCTTTCACAGTTGTGGTGTTATAAGCTAAGGAGATTGCCTCTTTTCAGAGCTCTATGTAGTTACTAATAATCAAGGGAACATGAGCTTATTGAGAAAAAGAAAACATTATATACCAGATGACTCTAACCACTATAAAAGAGAAAGAAGCAGGGTGCCTGTCTCAGTTGGTAGAGTGTGAGACTCTTGATCTTGCAGTTGTGAGTTCAAGCCTCATGCTAGGTATGGAGATTAACTTAAAAATAAAACCTTTAAGGGGTGCCTGGGTGACTCAGTAGGTTAAGTGTCTGACTCTTGATTTCAGCTCAGGTCATGATCTCATGGTCATGAGACTGAGCCCTGTGTTGGGGCTCTGTGCGGGGCATGGAGTCTGCTTGGGATTCTCTCTCTCTCTCTCTCTCTCTCTCTCTCTCTGCCCCTCCCCTACTCACACACTCTCTCTCAAATTAACTTAAAAAATAAAATCTTTAAAAAATAAACAAAAAAAGAAACTGAGTAACATATTCTACCAGTAGCAGAATTATTGGAACAGATGGACCAATAATATAAAATAAACAAAAATAAATATTCCCAAAGACATAATAACATTCCCAAAGACATTAACCATACTGACAAAAATCATTAAAAATGACCAAGTGGAGATGTTAGGTCTACAGGTTTTAGTAGCCTTAATAAAGAAAACAATAAAGGGACTAGATTATAAATGGATATAGCTGAAGAATGAATTAGTGAGATGGAAGATCAGATTGAAAATCCTTCAGAGGCAGCAGGAATGGATAAGGAAAAAATAGATAAGAGAAAACAGAAGAGTAGAGCTATGGGGCACCTGGGTGTCTCAGTGGGTTAAATACCTGACTTTGGCTCAGGTCATGATCTCACGGTTTGTGAGTTCGAGCAACACATTGAGCTCTGTGCTCACAGCTCAGAGCTTGGAGCCTGCTTCAGGTTCTGTTTCTCCCTCTCTCTCTGACCCTCCCCAGCATGTGCTCTCTTTCCCTCTCTCAAAAATAAGTAAACATTAAAAACACTTAAAAAAAAAAAAAAGAACATAGCTAAAAGCTGCGGGGGTTAGAAATAAAGAAGACAATATCCAGTACTCCCAGAAAGGAGAAAGAGGAGAGGAAATATTTGAAGAAATAAAATG